AGGATCTGAGCGACTTTGACAAGGAGACACATTGTGATGGCTAGACGACTGGGTCAGAGCATCTCCAAATGTGCAGCTCTTGTGGGGTGTTCCTGGTCTGCAGTGGTCTGTACCTATCAGAAGTGCTCCAAGGAAGGAAAAGAACCGGAAACAGGGTCATGGCTCATTGATGCACGTGGGGAGCAAAGTCTGGCTGTGTGGTCTGATCCAACAGACGAGCTACTGTAGCTCAAACTGCTGATAGAAAGGTGTCAGAACACACAGTGCATCAGTTTGTTGGTCTGGGGCTGCAGAACATTGTGACCACCAGGCTGCCCAGGTGGTCACATTGTTATCGGTGTACCTCCCTGCTTTGAGTGAACCCGGGTTACATCTGTAGTTCTATTTATAATGTTTAGCCATCGGGTAGTCTTTATTTCCTGTGAAAATGGCATACTTGTTCTCAGCGATTCTTTCAGTTTTTTCAGGTTTGTTCTTCCAACATAAAAATAAGCCCATGCATTGTAGATACTAGCTGATGGTAAACACATGCATATGCATTAAACCTATTATTAAAGGCTTTTTAATTTTTGTAAAGCAGTGTGCCTTGGTATTTTTTTGGTTATGACTTACGGATCATAAAGCAACATACAGGGTAGCTCGCCTGGTAGAGTCCCTACTACAGCCGCCCAAGTGTGATTCCAACCATCGGCCCTTTGCTGCATGTCAACCCCCCTCCCCCTCCACCTTTTCTATATATCTTCTGTCTATCTTCACCTGTCAAAAGCAACATACTCATGACCTCTCCTATGTTTTGGTCTCATGGATCCAAAGAGCACCTGTTTTTTGATACCTGCTTTTGTGAAGAAGCACTCCTTGGCCTATCTACTTTGATCCCTCTATACATGTAAAGTAAAACTGCGGTGTACTACAAGTTGGGTTTATTTTTGTAGCTCTGTTCATCGGTTCTATCAGTTGTTGCAACATTGTGCTCACCAAGGTAACTGCTGAAATCTGGGAACATGGTGACATTGCTAAAAATAGGTCCAGTGGGAAAGACAGTTACACAATCATACATGTTGTAAACAAGCCAACAGTTTTGAGTAGTTACCACTTTATTTGGAGGTGAAACCAAAAGTTGGGCACTTGTAATGTTGATAATGATTCCTCATTGCGCCATAGCCTCTGTGATGTCACCCATAGGTTTCGGAATAGCCCTGTAAATGTCAGTGTGGTCAGCTCTGGCCGTCGCCATCTTGGCAGTCCTGACTCCACTGGCTCCCAGAGTTTTTAGCATCATTGCTAACATGTAAGAAATAATTTGGGTAGTCATACTTACAATATGATCAAACATACAGAAAATAGAGTGAGAGAAGCTGTTTTTGTTCTTCCTGTGGCCTTCAGGAGACTCAAATGGTGCTACTTCTTGTTGATCATGTAGGGTGAATGAGTGAAAACCTTGGGGCATGACTAAAATGTGTATTTTAACTAACATGTTATGAATTTCTGATATCTAATATATATATATATATATATATATGTTATGTCTAAATTGAAAATAGTCACACAATAATACAAAAAAATAAGATTTCTGAAGGATTCTAATCATATTTCATGGTGAAGTGCGTTGTTAAGTGAGGGGACGGACTATAATGTATTATACAGATAGTTTTGATGCATATTTTTGCATTGTCCTAGGGATATCTTCTCTTCATTGTTTCCTCTCTAGCTTTACATGAGCTTTCCCAGATTTTTAGTGATCTACTGGAACCACATAATCAAACATAAAACAAAAACATCCATACACTTATATGTTACACATTTTACTTAAAGGTATTGCCATTCCACAAGTAATAGACTTTCATTTAACAAACTCAACTCCAATCCATAGAGACTTAGTGGTTTGGATAAAGCACTTTAATAGCAGATGAATATTAGAAAGAGGACATGACGCTTTATGACAACAGTTAGTGTGTTACTTACAGGAGCAAAATTGATTTGACACTCAGATTAAACTCACAATTTGATATGTTTCTCTTCAAAAAGCTCTCTCTCATCTTGGTGACACTATTCATTCAACACTACACCTTTAAGGTTTCAAAATAAAATCCCTTCCTTAATATTGCAATTAAATAAATACCTAACACAAGCTAATGTAAGCAGCTGACCCGGGCATTTCATTTGACACAATTTAACCAGAAAATAATGAATCACTCAAACCACATTGATGATAATGTTTTCATACACTTCTATTCTGAGGTCAGTGGACGAACCATTACCCCCACCCTCATGCATGCCTGAAGAGTTATACACCATGGCTTGTATACAGACAAATATATCTGGTATATGTCCAGTATATGTTCACATACATCTTACGGTATGTTAGTTGGCAAGTTGATCGGTCCAGAAATCATCAAGCAAAGCCGACGGACTTCAGCTTAAATGTGGAGCTTTTACTGTACGCAACAATGCTCTCAAACAACAAACATATAAAGAGTTAAATCTCTATCTGAGAGGATATAACACAGTTAGAGTATTGGGTTTTAAATCAAGCGAGACCCCACTTGTTATGCTTAAGTGCTGCTGCAGGTCTGTGAAGCTTAACAAAGTCAGCATGGGCTTTTTTTTTTCCTTGGTAACAAAATCATGATTTCTCTCCGCTGCATGATTGCTTTAATGATCCTTTCCAGAAGTCAAAAATAGCTTATAAAAATAATTTCTTTTGTTTGTTTTTTGATGTGAGTGTAGGTCACTCTGACAATGCTGCATGTTTGACACCACTGCACACCCTGAAACTTTCTGCTCTCTGCAGGGCCTCCTCCTTGTTTACCCACCCCTCTATCTGTGATTCACTGCCATGTTGTGGCCCCTTTCCAGCCCTGGCTTTCCTATCCGTGCTGATTTATGAGATGCTTGTGTAAGATATGGGACCGCATTCAAACATATCAGGGCACGCATATCAAAACTACGCCAGTCAGTCTTTCCTAACTTCTCTGATTGCAAAGAACTTGAAGGAAAATTGAAAACAAAAGCATATGATAAGGTGCTTATCGAGTAAAAGATCATAGAGGCATGGTATTGTCTCTTATTCCTGTCTTTGGCCATGACAGTCTGCAGTCCTTTCACTGTCCTAAAGTAATGGCAAAGGTGTAAAAATGAACTGGCTTGGCAATGTAACAGTCACTTAGCGCATGGAAGAAAATCTAATATGATGGAGAGACAGCGAGAGAAAAGGCAGAGCAGCAAACAAATGATATGTCGAGGCAGATAAGATGATAAACCCTCGCAAAGTGAAAAAACAAACTAGCTGCTGATGAAATACTAGAGATAGAAACGGGGAGATAAGTCAAGACTGACAGAGTAGAAGAAGGCGCACATAAAACAGTCAGAACCGCAGAAACTTGGAGGGAGGCCTGCACGAGAATTAGAAAAAGCTGTTATTTTTGCCGGGGTGTATGAAAGCATTGAGACGGGCGGGAGTGGGGATGCAGAAACCACATGGGAGACGAGGAGCATCAACACAGGCCATGCAAACGCAGCTCCTCGCCCTCGTCTGTAAGGTTGTCAGTCAAACATTCGGGCCACATTGCATACAAAAAGCTATAGATGCTGCCTCAACATCGTGAAAATGTTCCCGCACGAAGCGCCTTCCCGTGGCGTCACAGGCAGATGGCATGGCGTTTTACAGGTGGAAAGTAAGGGTATCATGGCGGTGCATATATAGATATTTCAGATGGGTTGGTTTTCTTTTCTGCTTCCTCCCAGACAGGATCGATGCTTGTTGAGATGTTGCTTCTTCTTTTTTTCTGTCTAAAAAAGGCGTGCCGCCTTCTTCAGGTCGTTTTTCTTCCAGAGGGCCAGGCGGTCGAACTGCTCCAGGGTCATGCCGAAAACGTGCTGGAAGTCCTCAGGAGAGAGGTGTCTCTGGAGAAGCAAAACACAGGCAGAAAAAATATATTTACTTTGGACAAAAGAGCATGAAGCAGGTCATAATTTTAAAGGACCAGTGTCGCAATGAAGTTGCAGATTGCAACTAACTGAACACTGCTGGCGTCTGTATTTGATGACCTGGGAATGAGAACGGGCTGTGAAGTGTTTAGGAGAAACAAAGGTATTATATTCCATTTCTGCCAATCGATCCTGGACCTTTAAAAAACTGTCCTCACTCAGCAACATAATAATGGTTGTTAGCTGAAACAGTTACAGATGGGTGACAAATTAAAGAAACAACATGAAGAGATTCGTTCCACCACAAGCCTCCAGCTAACAGCCTTTAATACTTATTGCCATAGATTCTCAAATTCTCAGGAACTTCACTGGAACAGCATCTTTCTAAGAGAAATTCCCTCATTTGATGTTTTGATGAAGGTGGCAGTGCTTATACCACCATGAAAAGTATTCTGCTTGAATGGTTAGGTATCTTGGGAGTCTAACTTCAAAACTGGAGAACAGGATAAGCATATTGCCAAAGTCAACAATGGTGTATTTTTACCATGAAGGTGATATCCCACTATAAAGTAAACTATAAAGCTGTAGCTGAGTTTAGTGTAAAATAAAAAACAAAAAAATGCACTGCCACAGTGTCTCCGTTGTACTGGCAGTTTAGCAATCACATTGGTCATTTGAAATGTACTGACATATTGTTGTTTAGGCATGAAAACTTGTCTTGGCTAATGGGTTGTGAAAAGGGTGAACTAGGTGAACAGTGTTCAAATGTAATAAAGTTGTAAATGATAACAACATTATGTAACTTTTGCTGAATAGTATATAATGATATAAAAAGTAGCTGTTGCAATTAGATTACAGAAACTGACATGGATTCGTACTTGTACCTTTACGTACTTTTGTAATAAAATACTTGAAATGTTCATTTGTGACATGCTAAAATGTACATATGAGTCTAAAAGTCAGTCCTCTATCTGAATATCTATCTGAAGTTGGCTAACTAATATTAGTCACCATGAGAGCTCTATTTATTATTATTTATTCTATATACAATCAAGTAAATGTTACAGCAAAATCCCTGAGTGTACTGAGTTCAGCAATTGTGCGTTTTATAGCTAGTGAATTAAACTATTAATTTGGAGAGAGATTGTGCTTCTACTCCCATTAAAACATAGATTGAATCACTTTTATCCTGTGTAATAGACCTTATGCACATGCATCCATGGTACTAATTAAGGTTCTATTCCATTCAAACAGAGTCAGGGTGCTGCTATGGTGCATGTCAGCTCACTGGAAAGGCTCTGCTACACTAAATGGAACAGAACATTAGTTAGTATCATTGGTAACACCTGTGTTTACCCTACTATGTCAAAATGGCTGCTGTGCAAAATGTCTATTTGTTATTTTTTAGGGGAAACAGGATGGCAAGCTAGCTTAGCACCATTACTAGCTAGCTTAACAACACAACTTACAAGCTTAGTTAGGCTAACTATCTAACCTAGCCGATTTAGTTTGGCTAGAAAGATAGCTATCAAGACCAGAATGGCTAGCTTACCAACACTACTACAAGTATTGGTAGTATGAAGCTTAGGTAGGCTAACTATTAGTATGGCTAGAAAGATTCTATTTCTTCCAGTAAGTAGCACTTTCTAAATGCCTGGTCACAAAGCAAAATTAATTTTCCCTTCCTAGGGAAACCGGTGGTGCTGCAGGCTTGGTAATGTGGTTGTACAGTAGGTGACATTGGTTGTGGCGAGGTTTGGTCATGACAACATGGAAGAGGAAAACTGTAGTTAGCGTTGCTATTCATTCGGAAGGGCAGGGTTATACGAAATTGGAAGGCGCAACACAGCTAATGTGATAGCTTCTACAGATTTGTAGTCTGAAGAACAGACTGATTATAGCACAAATTTAATCTGCAATCCAATCTACTAAATCACAGCTCCTGCATTGAAATTAAGTGATTTCAGTTGAAAATGTCTCTTCTATATGTTGGTGTTTTCAAGCCCTCACACTAGCTTTCTCATCGCTTCACTCTAATGAACCACATGTTCTACTGAGTCAGAAAAACATGTGGTACTTTGGCTCAATTAGTCAAAACTTTTACTTGAACCAATGAGATTATTTCTGCCGCCAGGCCAGCTTGACTTTTCTCACCCACTTGTGCTGTAGCCTATGGTGAATCAGTAGCAGCTTCAGCTCTCGGATTGGTCTCATATACAAGACATCCAATCGTAACATCATGTTTGTGTTCACCACATAAGCAGGCGTTACATTGCCTTCTGTATTGAGGTTTAACACACCAAATTCAATTCCGTGCCTCAGAAGTTCATCCAAACAAAACTGCTATCCAAAACCCGGCTTGGCTTGTGTTGGAGACACTCACTAACTCCTCTGTAAATGTCAAAAATATACCATGGAACAAAAACATGCATGGTATTGATTTAGACCCAGAACAAAAGCATACGCCACTTTATTGTAAAACGTTGGCTGGACTGTGCGAAGCAGTTGTGCGTCTCTACAATGATACTGATAGTAAATTAGAGGCAGGCTGTTGCTGTGTGATAGCCAATCACCTGGTTTCCATACCAACCAACAGAGGGAGGAATGTGGTTTTCTCCCTGTGGCAAAAACATCCAGATCATTTTCATTTTTCATCTGCCATGTTGACAGAATAACAACAAGAGAGTATCAAGGAAATTAGATTTTCAAAATATTTATTGAATAACGTTATCATTACTAGTGATGGTAAAACACGAAAGGTGTTCTCTATTAGCTGTCAACTCCTGCTGTGACAGCACTGACTGGGGTAGAGAGTTTGGACCTAAAGACAGAACTAGAACAGGAGAGCTTTAGTACTCTGTAGTACTTTTAGTACTCTGATAGTGTTTTTCCACCAAATTAGCCCTGGTTCTGTCATTCTCCGCCATTCAGACAGTAGTCACGCACTTGTATAAGCTTGTATTTCTATTAAGACTTGGGACAGGAACTTCTGTTGTTACTATTGTCAACATTTATCTGACAGACCTGTAATCAGATTTCCTACATAGAACACAAATAAGCTAAAGGAACTTTTAGTATTTGATTTAGTTACTGAGTTTAGTTGCTTGGTAAATCTGTTTTAGGAATCAAAACTTTATTTTCAAAAAATTGGACTTTGTCAAACTTACCAGTTGTAGATTTTGGCATTCAGACATGAGATAAATTCATGTTTATGTTACAAAATAACGCTAAAAACAGGGTCATGATCCACAATTTTTTGACAAACTTGCCTTAAAATTAAATCCATTCTGAGATGAGATGCTCTTTCAGCAGCAGAAAAATTCTAATCCCTCTTAGTTTTTTTTATTGCTGTCAATAGCTGATATTTTGCACATATTTTCTGTAGGCCTACTTTTACATTTAGCCATTCTCATGACAAAAGATTACAGTTCTTTAGTATTTCCACAGAAGAGAGACTTTTTAGCATTCCACCTACATTTGGCTGTTGACAGTGAACTAAAAACTGCTGCTTGGATCAACAAGTCTGCACCCCCCATGGATGATGGCTGAACACTGCGGAGGTGTGGAGTAATAACACTATCATAGTAAAAACATGACACACGCACTGAGGCTATACAGGTGCAGACAGGTGAGGGCACATGTCAGCACACTGTAACTTGAGCTGATAGAAACTATATATATACTTAAATCTACTCATCTCACTCTGAAAGAATATAAAAACAAGTGTATCTCCAGATATGTTGAACTTTTCCCTTAAGTAATGTCCCTGCACAAAAGCTTTCTGCGTTATATGTCTGAGCATCTCCTCACACAGCAGCCACCAGTAACGGGTCAGAATGATTGTGCCTCTTGGCTCAGAGTTGGAGTTTTGATATGGGTTTAGCTGCTGATTAGTTTGGGTAAACCAACACCACTTTGGAGTCAAGGATCAGGGACAGTGGTGGGTGAAACAGAGGTTGGAATCTTTCTCTCTGACACACACACACACTCACACACTCACACTAATGACAATATGACTCCAGTCTAGTGATCCCAACCACAAAGGGATCTCTTGCGTCAGTAACACCCCGATATCCCGACGGTCTGACTCCTCTTGGGACAATATTCCCATAATCCAAAGGCTAACAGGCAGTTCTCATATTAGGGTTACTGAAGGTTTAAATATTTTAAAGGGGGTGTTTTTTTTAAAATAGGTTCATGAAACTCTTCTGGGGAGACGAGGACCATCAGTGCTGCACCACAAACCACAATTTGAAGTTTTTAAATGTTTTTTTTTATGCTATGTGGAACATTATTTGAGACTTCTCTACAGACTAAAATATTTCCTGTTTTCAGCCGAACAAACTTAATGAAAGTTCTGAATCTGTAAATGGGTAGTGTAAGAATAACAGCTGGAGGAAATTAGTTATTACGGGACATTAAGTCCAATTGTGCTTAATTTTTTATTATAAGGCATGCATGTGGGTTAAACTTGCCATGACCCAGCACAAGAGCAGGTAATGTGATACAACATCAGAAAGTAAAACCAATATTACTGCCAATTATATTCACATTCAATAAAATCCCACAATTTATTGACTTTATTTAGCACGTCACAGCTTGAACTCTAAGTTCTCTTGCAGCAAACTACACCAAATAGCCAAAAGCAATATACCCATATGTCATTGTTGAATGTGTCAGTCCAAAACCATGGGCATTAATCTGCTGTAACAGCTTCCACTCTTCTGGTTTCAGGCTTTCCACCAGATTTAGTAACCTGGCTGCAGGGATTTGCTTCCATTCAGCCACAAGAGCATTAATGAGGTTGGGCACTCACTGAGCCAGGCACCATCACCCAGAGGTATTGGATGGGGTTGAGGTCAGTGCTTAGTGTATGCCACCATCATTTTATGCTGTAAAAATTAAGATTTCTCCCAATCTCTGAACCCACCCACCCATTGCCTCTGGGGGCAACGGCCAAAGTTTAAGGGCTATCCACTGAAAACAGATAATGGGTGTAGGCTATCTGGGCCAAGACCTTCTCTGCAGTCTGATTAGCAACTTTGTGTGCAAGACATTACAAAACAACATTTCAAAAAAAGCTAATAAAAAGCGTCAGACGATAGGCGATCAGCCAATGCGTTCCACCTCTTTTGCTCTCACAACGAAGCGCTGCAGCAGGATTTTAGAAAAACAGAGGTCCAAATTCTCCAAGTTCAGCCTTCTTTCTGTTCTTTTTACCAGAAACACAAAAACATATTTGTTTTGTTTATCTATGTTTAGTTATTCATTCAACTGATTTAAATTTTTTTGCAAATGTTATCCTCCCACATGATAGTCTAAATGCAATTTCATCAATTGAATTGTCTTCATTCAATCAATTTGACTCACTTTATCTAAAGCATACTGAGGCCTTTAGGGGCCTCGCCCAAATCATGAAAACCAGCTCAAGTACACAAAAAAGCCCTGTCCACATGCTTTTGACCATACATCATGTATCTGTTTTTGAAAAACCTCAAATCATTTATCCACCTATACAAAAATTGGAGATAGCACTTCTCTAAGCTTGGGCTGATATTTCGATCCCACCTGGCTTAGCTGCCTGGTTGCCTTACCAAAACTGCGTCATTCTTTAAGTCATTCTTTAAACCCCGTTTTAACATTTTCTCAGGCTTTTAATGACCTGTGGTAAGAAGGGGGGAAACGACAGAGCAGGGAGAAGAAGATTAGAGCTTACCTCCAGTCTGGTGCGATCTACGTCTCTGGGAAGCTTCACTTTCACTCTATGCGTCACTGCCAGAATTTCATAAGGGTAGATCTGGCACACACAAAGTAAGCATTGTGGGAGATTTATTAGTGAGTATAATTATAATCCAATGTCCAACAAAGCTGCCAAGAATATTATTTGTAAAGCATTAACAAATGAGGGAAATCTTACCTTGTATTCTAGGAGGGAGGGAAAGAGAGAGAGAAAGAGAGAATTAACCTGGTGGAACAATGAGTTTTTATTTGAATAGCAGAGCCATTATGAAAACTACCATAATAGAGCCTGAAAATAAATTACACCTTGTGGACTCAAATCTCTTCAAAAATATTAGGTTTCAAAGGCGTCAAAAGCATTATAAACGGTTGCTCTGCACACACGAATACACAGTTATGAGGTTGGCATCATGTCAACTCAGTCTTTGCCTAAGATACAGCCAGGACTGTACACACACACTTGTAAACACACACTAATAATTCTGCAGCTGGAAAAATGACATCACCTCTCCACATTGTTACCTCCAGTAACTGATCTGGAGCCAGGGCTGCAGGGCTCTGTATGATTGGTCACAATGTAATCAGGGATTGTAAACTGACCTTAGATCTGTACTTAAAGGAAATCTGACACGGGCCTTTTTCCCATTTCAAAGTAAGATATCAGCTGATACTATTATCTGGAGGAAAATGTTCTCTTTTGGATTAACCTAAAGAAACAATATAGTTGCTAAGTTATTTTGGGAGTCCATGGTTCTGGAAGTAAAAGTCCAGTCCAGTACAACATTACTCACTGATATCGGTGCACTTCCAAAGCTATAGAAGTACATGAAATTCTCCCAGTTGAATCTCAAGTACAAAAGATGCGCAACTATGTCAAAAAATATCTGCGCACATAAAAAGTAGATAAAAGAAGTAACTTTAACTCCTACATAGAATTTCCATAAGAAACATCCAATACCTGAGTTTAAAGTTCTATTGCTAATGGCTAAAGGAAGCTAAAAACTAAGTATACACATGCTAATACGATCAGCATTCCTTTCATTGTCACATTCTGGCTCAATGTATTGAATTTGATTAATTCAATAACTATGGTGCAGTGTTTTGTCATTAATTGCAATTATAAAGACCCAGAGAGAGTACATACAAGTTGAGTAATACTGTAGAGGCTCAAGAATCGAACCCTGGTTTCAGATTTTTTATTTTATAGTCATAGGTATTAAAGGCTTCATTACAGAAATTGTTTTACCTAAATGAGTGTTCAGCTGACTGTCATTTAACATCTTTATTGGGGCAATCTCTGTTTCTTGCCAGAGTTTGTTCAAAAGGTTATTAAATATCAACAAGTTGTTGAATTTAATGAACACAGCTGTCTACATTTTCCTAATAAAAGGTAGATTACAGAATTAAAGAAGAGATTTGGTAATTTTCTTCTGGAACCAACCAGCCTAAATCTGACATCTCAACTCTGTCTATAAGGTTAAACTGACAACTTTCAACTTTATTTTAAGGACGTTCAAAACAACATGTTTTTAATCATTTTATCTATTATATGTCAAAATATTTTTAAAAATACTCACAAGTCACAATTTCCCACAGCCAAAGATGACTCAAAGTTTTGTCCAAACAGTAAAAAAACCCTAAATTTACTGTCAAATAGATAAACAAAAGCAACATTTTGTTTTCATTTGGGAAGATGACACTCGTGACTTTCCAGCATTCTGGCATAACAAATTATTTAAAGAATACATTTTTAAAGTCATCATATTTAATATTGGGGTTGCAATCCTTTGCAGTCATTGACCCACAGACATCAGCTGATGCTTTACCGGGCCTGAACTGCAGCCAGCATCACTTCCTGCTGGTATCAGTTAGTATACAGTTTGTATGTATCGTATGTAGGCCTTTAGCTGATATACCTATCAACATTTCAACACTGAAAAAGCTTGAAAACCACTAACATTAGGAGGAACACAACAAAGAGCATGAGTAACAGCAGTCATTTATTGTCAGTCTCACCTCTCATGCCTCCCCAGCTCTGCGAGTCTGGGTCCACTTCATCTTCCACCATCTCAGCAGCCTGTAAGAACACACACACATATAAACAGAGACCAGTTAGACCATCATTCAGATCTTGCTCCATTCCTCCAAGAACATTGCTGGTCTTTATCAAAGCCAGTGTGCATCTGAAAGCCTTTTAGTCATTACTTTTGCACTTGATTTGCTCACATTCTTTCAGGGTGACCAATAGGAAGTGAGTGTGACACAGTCTTTTGATAGTGTGCTTGCATCACTTAGTTAGAGAGAGTAAAAAATTACTAAAGAGAGAGAAGGAATGACATTAGAAAGTGTTTGCTCCCTGTGAATGTTTGTTTGGTAGCTTGTTCAAAAATCAAAGGTGCACCACAAGGTTCTACTACATGTATCTACTGTATGCTTGTAGAGAGGAGACATTAAACATATCGCCATACAAATGCAGAATCTGTAGACAAGGTTTGTTGTTTGAGTAGTGTCGACCAATTGCGTTTAAGCGGACTTCAATTGTTCAGCTTGGCAAAAATAAAATCCTGGAACAATTTTGCCTTTTATTAGCTCTCTTTTTCTTATCTGTATTCATATCTAGATATCTGTTTATAGAGATTTACCAAAATGTGTCTTTCTCGTCCTCAACCCAATCAAGTATCCATATCGAGTTGCTATCCGTTATTTGGATATCCACTGGCTACACCAGAAGCCCCGAAACATTGCCGTTGCCTCCAGAGGCTAAATCGCTGTCAGACAGTAAAAGCTTCAGAGATTGACATCACCTAAAAAATGAATGATTGTTGCTCTTCAAAGTGTGAGGCTTTTATCTGTTGTGTTTACGGTTGCTGTCTGTCAGGGATTAGTTAGTGTATTGCTTTATGCAAATACTGTTTGAAATGAACCAATTAATTGTCTCAATGTCAAGAAGTTATCTCTCTCCATAGACAACAGATAAACATTGTGACTGACAGCTAAACAAAATTAAAAAAGAAAATATCTTCCTTCTGGTTAATAAGTTGGTTCATGACAAAATACCTGCAAACCCTGTGGGATTCCCATCAGCCTCAGCTGTACTTTGTGTTTCAAGCAGCAAATATGAAAATGCTAACAACTAAGATGGTGAACATGGTAAATGTTACTTGTGAAGATTAACCATTGCATGTTAGCACACAGATGTTAGCCTTTCGCTCAACGCACTGTTGTGCTAACAGTGTCACAGAGCCATTAATTGTGTCTGTAGATATAATCTATTAGTATCAGTATGTCATAACTGAAAAAAA